AGCACACACAAACAGCATGTAAAACCTGAATTCAAAATACGTTTATAGAAAAGGGATGAGGACACATGTTTTTTCTATTTCAGCTTGAAAAATAAAGGGACACAGCAATGAGTCTTGCTGGCAGGCAGATAACTCATAGGCCCTGACCCTTCGACTCACCAGGAATTCAAACACAAAGCTCTTTTCATAGTGACCGTGCCATACATTCTCAAGATAAGGCAGAGAAATAAGGAGCAATGGAGAGGTGCCACAAAGCTCAAAATGCAGAAAACTCTGCAGAGAAATTATGTTCACTCATTCACCTACATGCAGCTGCACACCAAGTGCTGGCTGCAAAACTCTTTCTTTCCAAATTAGGAGCCATGCAGCCAGCTTTTGGAAACGGGACCTGCCTCCTGAAGCAAGCAAACGCAAAAGAGAGAGCAAGCAGCAAGGAAAGGGCTATCCCTGAACATTTCTGTATCGGTCAGAACTGAACTGCACATCCGGACAAATAATCTCTAACACAATGAGCTTCACAAAAGGATTGCTGTGGTAAAACGGAAGGGTTTTTAGAAACAACAAAAAGAGCTACATTTCAAACAACATTTCAAATCTGGACTCACCATGAAAAAGCAACAGTTGCCTGAAGTTAGTGTGCTATTTTCTGCCCTGTTCCATTGCACTTTTTGCCTAGTTGTCCAACACTTGGTAGCTCAGAGCTGCCACACAGAGGCCCCTTCCGTGATCTGGCTTATTTGCCTGTCAGTTTGAGTCTCAGCTTCTGTATGATGCAGCTGTGCACTTTGCTGAAGGTCTAATATCATTTCCATAAGCTTTCTCCCTGACTGGAGCAAGCAGTTTGTTCTCCCTGCTCAATAAATACTCAGATCACTTTTCTGGTACTCACAGGGATAAAGCTTTAAGTTGTTAAGGAGTTCTTACTAAGTAGTGGGTGGAGAACATAAGCTCGGTACAAGGAAACTCTGCGCATAATCAGAAACTGAGAAACTTCCTCCCTTTCCCCCAACCCCTCCTCTCTCCAGGCAAAGCTGCCAGTGCCTCCTTTACAGAAATTTAGGAATGTAAAGGGAGGACTCAAAGGGGCCCAGTCAGACAAGCCTTTCTCAATCAATTAGCTTGCAGCCATTACTTGTGACCCTAGGTCACACAACATAAGTGTGTGGGGTGTGCCTTTAGGGGTACACCAAAGCTACTTATTAAAACTTACATAACCAAAAGTGTTCAAAATCAAATAAACTCTGAAAGCTGGAAAATATTTTCCGCGTTCCGCAGTTTTGCTGGAAGAAGAGTTTTGAGTAAAGAAGTGTTACTTTGTTTTTCCAATAACAAATCATCTGATGCAGAAAACTAACTTTTTTGTACTTTAAAAAAAAAAAGATTGAAATGTGAGATACACAAGCAGACTTCAAAATGATATTTGCTTTACGATTATACAAAAACTAAATAATATCAGCATGAGTGATTTTTGATGAAGCACATGATCATGTTCCTTAAAATAAGACTATTGTCTGTAGCTACAAAGGAATAGATGTGTATAGGACTGTTTAATTTATTCATGAAGTTCAGCCCAGGTATTTCAGTCCTCTGCAAGAAATGAGTTCTCAGCATTCAGATTCCATTCTTCATTTTAATACTCCAACATAACAAATCAAACAATTTACTTTTAAAAAAGGTCCAGAATATTTGAACACTGCATTAAGTTATCCTGCACTGAACACACAGGGAGACGAGGGTGTAATTTACCACAATTCCCACACAGCAAATATACACCCCTTGGTGTGAAGGAAAACTTCAAAAAGACCCTCAGCTTCATATCCCGCCAACCCAATGACATGGAGATGATGCCTTGGAAAAACCCATGAGGGAGTCCTGATTTCAAAAGCAGATCTATGACAACCCCTTTCTGGGCCAGACGAGATCAATGCACCGCAGGGGCGATGCACTTTAATCTCAAGGTGCATCGCAAAGCATCTTTAAGTGGTGCCACAGATCAAGGCTAATACATAGCTGAAAAAACAGTTCAGCCCAAACTTCACCATCTACTGAAAGTAACTGAGCAACCGCTACACAAAAGCTCGTAGAGGACTCAGGGAAACCTGTAACCATGCAAGAAAGCAGCAGTAATGTACTGAAATTCATTGGGGTTGTTGCAGACAACCTGCAATCTACATGTTCATTCTCCGTTAAAATCCCAGTGAAACGCTCTGAACAGGCGGCATGGCCTGTGTTAGTTCAGACATTCATTCAAGAGATCAGATTGCAGGATCAGGGACACTGAGTAAGTGCCCCGGGGTAAGGATTTTATTTCTGTCTTGCACATAAGACAGCATTTAATAAATTAGGTCACATTTAAATCCTTGGAAAGCCCTGGCAGTAGAAATAATAATCATGGATACTTTAATTTTGAATGAGAAAAAATGGGCTCAGGATTAAGATGCTGGATTGGAATTTAGGATATTTGGATTCTGTTCCCATTTGTGTCTCAAGTGGCCCAAATGATTTGGGAGACATTATTTCAAGTTTTGCATTTATGCCAAATATCACTTGCCTTCACCTCCTCAAAATCTATCAATAAAACAGGGATGATGAAAATAATATTCAATAAATGGATCCCTTCAATACTGGTTCACAACACATGCTCTACATAGTGGAATTAAAGTAGTATTGAATATAAAATATTTACTGACACTGGACTTCTGAGTAACTGAACACAAGGAAACTACCTATATCAAACCTTCTGAAACATCATTCAAATCCATTATAGGCTTCAACATACACCAATCTCCAGGAGGTAAATACAAAGCCATGCACATGAATAGGAATATAGGCTTCATTCTCTCTCTTTTAGCCCTCTAAATGTAAGGTTCCTGGAAAGCTTACATAGAGTTGGGCCCTTAAATCATAAGGGGTTTGAGTCCCTAATAATAGGAAAAATATGGGAGGACAGTGCTTGTCAGGAGACAGGCTGTCTGGAGTGTTGGTCCCAGCAAGTGTTAAGAAATGGAGAACTCACTCCATCTTTGGCCAATCTCTGTGAACTTCCAGGCTAAAACAGAGGAATTACCACTGATTTCAGGTTTCCCTTTAACCTACAATTTCTAAACCAAGATGCATCTCAAGCAGTCCATTAGTTATACATTCACACACCTTTCATTTGGAAAGGTTGATACGGAAAATTTACAACACAAATAACAAAGAAATTTAAAGGATGTTTTTAATGTAACTTAAAACAATGCTTCCACACTGGAAATAATAATAGAATAATGGCTCCTCCTGGCACTCTTGAGTCCCCTGGCTAAGGACTCTTCCTTTTCCTGATTGCTGGCTGTAAAATTACCCCTCCATTGGCACCACTCCATCGCTGCCACATTTCAGTCATGCAAAGGCAATGTGAGCCATTTCAAAATAATCTCTAACAAAAAAAGACACAAAGGTTGAAGCAGAACGAGGTCCTCAAACCAAAGATGGGAGCCAGGAATACATAAAACTCCTTTAACATTCTCAGGGTGCTGTGCTATGAGCAAGATTCTTTTTAATTAATGAAAGTAAACACCACCTCAGTGTTTCCATTTTTACATTCTAACATGGATCAGCCCAGAACAGACTATTTCAAGGAAGGGTGATGTAAGTTTTCATATATTTTTCCACATTCTGCTCTTTTTCCTCAAAAGTAATGAATTTTGGAGAGGTCTACCTTAATTAGCCACCTCTTTTCTCCCTTATCTGTTGCGTGATCTTTCATATTAAGAAGAAAATGCTCCACTCCTTGCACCAAGGTATTTGCACACTTACTAACTCAGAGGTAGCAAGAAGATGAAATGTGTAAGTATTATACAAAGTCTTTTCTTTGCATATGCAGATCTTCAGGCTTAGAATACATCCAAGTTCAATGTGATCAATACATGATCATGCTACGTTAAGGAATCCTTTGAGAATAAAAGGGATTTCTTGTTATTTGGGGGTTGTTCTTCTGCATAACAGTGGTCCATATAAAAAGCAACACCTGTGACATTTATTCACAGAACTAGCTCTCCTCCTCAGTTATACCCTTAAATGAGATTATATTCATTTTAGTTAGAAAGACAAAAAAGCTATGTGCAAAACACTTGCAGCAGAATCACATCTGTAAAGTTTATAGTGTTGACAGTGGTACTCAGCAAGACATTCATATCTTAAGTCGTGCTGTAAACACTGCATTAAAAGCAACTGCTTCTTTAAGAAATAAAACAAAACTAATTCCAGGGGAAAAAAAAAAAAAAAAGCTTGCAAATACACTACAGTACTTTGAAACAGATCTTCCACTCTTTAAGCCTTCTTCCCCTGAGTTCCCCCACCCCCTTTTCCTTTCAGGAAACAAAACTCAAGAAGAGAAAGAGAGAGAGAGTCAAAAGGTTACAGCCGGCTTGTAAGTGCAAAGAACGTGAGAGGCCCATTCTTCCCCTTAACACCTGACATCCCAGGGAACATTTTCTGCAGTGCCGAGTCTGGTGGATTAGACATGCAGCTCCTGTTGATAATGGAAGCTGTGCATCTCATTCGCCATGCAATGCTACTTCAAGTTCTTCTCCTGCTCCGCCTCTGTAAACTGTTCTCACTCCTGCTCCACAATTACAAACTTAATTAATGAAAATTGGCAGTTTGCCACGATTAGGCCAAGTTAAAATACCTTCTCTGAGTCCAAGAAAAAACATAAAAATTCATTCCTGGAATTCTGAAGTTTGAAAAAGTTGCAGTAAATCAGTAAAATCATGCACTTTATTCTTAATTACAAATAAAACCTAAGAGAAAAGCTAATACAAAGCTAATAAATGTTAAAGCCTTGATTAAAAAAAAAAACCACCTGATTGACAACCTTAGTGGCAGCGTTATAACATTCATGCTACTATTCCTTGACTCAGAATACACAGGTTTCCCTGATTTCCACAGCTTAGTGAAGCAGGTAAAGCACATCTAGGGCATGTTTGTGACAGCTACAGAACAATGAAATACTAAATTACCAAAGTATTTGCTGCACTTTTTCTAGGATGGAGTTTTCCCATATCCCTCAGATGTAGCTGAGATCTGCTTGCTTGGCTGATGCTGTAGGAACAAGGAAACAATTACCTTTAATTAGGTGCATAATCGTACACAAAATGGAAAAGGACTGAGAACAAAGTTAATTCTAAACACCAGAAGTCTTCAGGCAAAAGTACAAAAGAGAAACAAGATTGATTAGGGTAGAAAAGGTACAGTTCACAAAAATCAACATCTAGGTGCAATAAAAAGTAGTAGGGGAAAGTGACACAATATGATTACTTGGAATTTCCTGCTATTAATAAATGTAAGGTTCTAACTTAAAGATAAATTTGTTTCAAAAAAAGACACAAATTCCAACGTAAAGCCAAGTAAAAACTTTAAAAACTAATTAATAAAATGCTGGCATTGAGAACATGGCAAAAAAATGTGAGTTCTTTGCTGTAGTGTGGTAGCTCTGGGATGTTGCATGCAACCAAACAATGTCAGTCCCTGCTTCCTCTCACCCCTCACCTACCTCATCCTAAACACCAGCCAATTAATTTCTTTTGTTGTATTTAAAAGACACTTGAAGAAGTTTGAGGGTGTAGTTTCTAATCTTTTTCTTTTCAGTGTGATGAATATTGGAAGTTTTATTGCTTGGACTTTGCAAATACCTTAGTCCGGTAGATGCTAAGAGAGAACTGTTACAGATTTTATAGGAGGAATCTGAGAAGGGGAAAAAAAAGATCAAAAAAGCAAATGAAAATTCTGGTAATTGATAGCCAGGTCTCCAGAAACATACCGAGATAATTGAAATATTTAGGGTTCAAATGTGTGAAAAATCCAATGAGAACATTCCAAAGAAGGCTTAAAGGAAGACTGCGGAGATGTGCAGCTCCTTTAAGAAGATTTTATAAACAGTAGAATAAGACATTCCTGAAGAAACTGGTTCTTACTACTTGTTTAGATGTATTGCAGTAAAAAACTTCAGCTTCAGCTGGTTTTATTTCCTAGACATGAAAACAAGTGGGTGTGAGTTTGTCACCTGATTGAAGGACTAAGGTTATTTATTTATTTTGTTAAGTCACTTGGGTCTTAGAAGTCTGGGTGAATACAAAGACAGAGATTAAAGAGAGTGCACTCATTCCACAGACAAGCATTAAATGAGATTTTAATGAGGTCTGTCCATCACCTCACTAGTAACCTGCCAGGTACCACCAGGGAAACCTTCACTTTATTTGCCCATTGGCCAGGATGGTTTGATTTAGCTTTGCTATTCAGGTCTGAGGTGCTGTTCATTTTGACCACAGAAACCAAACCAGATATATACAAAGACACTACTTATTTTAACAATATTTGTATGTGTAGAAAATATTCCTATGAAACAAATCTAGTGCCAAAAAGACCTTGAAGGGAAAGATACATAAATGAATTCCAGCATCCCTGTCAAAATAGCAACAACACCATGTTTGTATCCAAAAACTGTGTCAGGCTGACTGAGTGGATGTAGGTTGGACCAAGTTTAGAGTGTAACTCTAGACCAGCATGTACAGCCACAGACTGTACTGTAAAAAAAGAGTATTTAGCTGTTCTTGATGTGAATGAAGATTTCTTACAGCACCTGTCTGGTGGAGATTCTGCATCCTCACGCACAGCTCATTATATTAATCCATTCATGTCTGCAAATCATTTCCCATGTTGCCAATGTGGACAAGCAATGAATCTGTTCTTGAAAGAATTTGACTGTTCTAAAAATGTTAAGAAGTTTTAAAATTCAATCTCATAACATACATGAAAAATGGGTAAAATCTTTTTCTGCCATTGCCCACACTAGCATTTAACATGTGCTTTTAGAAGAAAAGTCTGGAATTTTTATCTACTGCATACCTAGGAACATTTCCCTGACAGAGAAGTGTAAGGGAAAAAAAGCTTAGTAATATTTGCTTCTATTTATTTTCTCTGAAGTTAATGCTCCTTCTTTATCTGTGAACTTTTTTTTTTCAGTGTCATGAAAAGCATGACCTTGTTGAAGCTTCTCAGTTAAAAATGAATTCTCAGTAGAAAAATATCCCTAAAGTAGATTCTCTCCCTTACCAGGGAATGCTCTGGCAGTCAACTTCAATTTGCCTTAAAGACAAAAAGGCATCTCTCTAGGGATAAAAATCAATCCCCAAACTGTCAGCAGCAACATACAAAGTTTAGAAATGTGCTTAATTCAGCACAAACAAATGCTTGTAAATTGTCAAGCCAATAGGTGAGAAGTGTCTCTTCCATTAAATAAAATCATGAGCTAAATGAAAAAACTAAAAAGGGGACAAAGACACCATAAACAGATATATTTCACCCCCCCTGATATCTATCAAGCACACTTGTACAGAATAATAAGAAGTCATTCTTTACTAATAGACTACTCATTATGTTTAATATTATTTTAATTGCTACTGATTTTTTAAAGGTTTTCATTACTGTTGTGTTCAGATGCATGCAAAAGCACACCTTCTCCATACAGCTTGGCAATGAGCAGCAGTTTCAGACACCATCAACTCAGATTTACAGCCTGAAGGTGATCCACACTTAGCAACAAGGAAATCAGTTTTCCAGCTTGGAGACATCACCACAAACTGCAACAACTGCAGAAACGACTGAAGCCATTGCTGGCTGCAGATATGCAGCAGCCATGCCCTTTTTCTCATCGCCTCAAGGCCAGAGCAAGATTAGAAAGCTCAGCTGGAAGTTCTTGCCTTCTCTTCTTCTGCACCTCGTGGTAGCTGTAGAAACTGCTAACATCCTCCTGCCTTTCCAAGGTGACCCTGTCTCCACCTGGCCATGGTCTGACCTCTTGGGAACTGCCTCCACACCCACTACAGTGCACAGACAAGGTATAGGGTCTGGCTGAATGGCATGTGGGCAGGCAAGGAGACCTTCCCCATCTGGCCATTCTGTGTGCAGTCACTCTGGAGAAAGGGGTGGGACTGTTTGGTGGGTTTAGTTCAAGCCTACACCACGCTCCTGGAAACCACTGATCACACAGGATAGAGTAAGAACATCCTAACAAAGGGGATACTATAGCCATGACAACGGTTACAGTAATTTCTCCCCACCTCCCTAGGATAATGAGAACTTGGACTTTTCCTGCTATAAATGTATTTCCTACCCTAGTAGATGAGGCCATGATGATCTAGACTTGTAAGAAGAAAGGTCTTGGAACATGTTCAAGATTTGAGCAGAGCTCTACTCCATGTAGAGCAGAGTTCTACTTTATCTTCAGTGAAACAATCTTTCTGTACCCCTGTTTCTGATCCAAAAACCTCCATCTACAGTATAAAATACTGGCTTTCTTATCACATAGATTTTATGCAATAACTAGTAAAAGCTTTTCAGCTTTGTTCTTACATGTGGCTGTATACATCATAAAGTCCTGAAACAAGAAAGTGCTATTCAGTGCAAAGAAGGAGGTGTTTTGCAAAAAGTAGGCTGTATTTTACCTAAAAAATCCAAACCTGCAATTACCCAAAAATAAAACAAAAAAACCCCCCACCCTCCTTTGAGAGGATCTAACACAAACTCAAAGATCAAGTTTCAGTGTTGTAACTGCAGAGTTACAACCAAAACATCCCTATGTGTTAAAAACGGAAGGGCATGTTCTACTGTGTTGAAAAATCCACCATAAATCAGTTAAAATATGAAAGAATAAAAACATTTAAGAATATAAAGTGAATGGACAACATAAGAAAAAAAACGTAAGTGGAAGAACCATCAAAGCAAGATCAGCAACAACCAGAGCACAAAACATTGCTATTTGAGGGTTCTTTTGTGTAGAATGCAGAAAAAAAATAGACCAAGGTCCATGCTGGAGCTCCACTGCAAGAAAGACATGACCATGTGTTATTAATATGTTTTTATGTTATTTTCTGTGAGCGCAGAAAATACCATGAGTTGAGAACTTTTAGGTAGAACAAGGAAAGAAAAAGAAAAACCATACCCAATGAGGAAAAACTGTAAGACAAAAATTGCCATCTCTTTCTGCTGATACTTTCAGAGATAGCAACACAGTGAGATTCCCACACGCTGACAAAACATGTCACGCAATTTCACATATAAAGTTGTAAGTGCTGGAAAAAGAATGGCTACTGCTACTCTCTGAACTGCCTTATTATAAAGCTTTCTATGGAGACCATTAAGGATTGGAAGGGGAGGAAAAACCCTGACATTTCCTGATTTATCTTGAAAGTCAAAATCTAGGCTATTTGCAGCTGATACTTCAGAATGGTCAGAAATATTTCATGACTACTTTACCAAATAAATTTTAGGGTTCACGAGATCAAAGGAGAAGATTAGCTCAGGAATCTCAATATCATTTATTTTGGCAGTGTGCATATGTTAGTAGATTCTTGTGGTCCTCCCTAGGATTAACATGAGTTTTGAGAGATGGTATGGGTTCCATACAAAAATCTGCAAGTTCAGAGCTAAATTCCTTAGTTCAGTAACCTAGGAAAGTGAACTAGAACAACTGAACTGTCTAGTATTCAAAAATAAGACTGTAAACTGTTACAGAAGAGAGTAGAAATTCAGAATCACAGGTATTAGAGATCTCTCTCATTAGCTGCTTCCCTCTTTCAGACATTACACCATCACCAGAGTCCTCCCTGAAACTGTTCTTAATATCAGAAATCTTTCCCCAAAATGTACATATAATTTCTTAACTTGATCAGATTGATAGTTATAACTGTAACTACTCTTCATAGAATGCAAAAATATTATTGTTCTTTGGTTTTCATAACAATGATCTGTTTATTTCTTTTTTAAAGAGCAGTTCCTTCTCTGTCCCTTTCACAGGAGACACTGGTTGTTACTCAGATCCACAATACATATGTCACTATTTCCATTGAGTCCAGAGATAACAACAATGCAACTTCAAGCTAAAAGGCCAAATAAACAGATTCAAGTCAGCATCAAATAAATGGGGTCTCAGCCATAAAATCCACACCACATCCTGCCCTTGGAAGGCAGAGTTCAATTTTGGTTGAGTCAAGCAGGGCAGTTCGTAATCCTGAGAGTGCTTGTTGCTGTCTGCACACACCTTC